CATGACCAGGTGGATCAGGAGCTTTGGTTTGATCTCCATATCCTCATCCATGGGCTTTAACTTTGCTGCCATATTGCTCATCCTGAGGATATGCTCTCTTATTCCATGACTACCACCTGTGTAGCGTTCTGTCACCAGTTGCTCTAACACCTGGGTGTTATATATCTTTGAAGAGCCAGTGAACTGGCTCTTTATCTTTGAAAGCAACTCCCCTGCGGAAGTGCACTCTACAATGGAGCCCACAATGGTGCTCTCAATTGTATTCTTTATAAATGCCATGCACTTTTTGTTTTCATTGACCCACTTTTGGTTTTCTATGATGTATGACATCTCCAAAGGAGCATAATCTCCCCTCTTTTTAGCCCACGCAACATCATCATCAGTGGCCTCTCTTACTGGCTCTGTAGGTCTGACCGGCCGTGATTCATCCAGAACCCAGTCCAGATCAGCACAGACAAATGCCAGTTCAACTTTCTTCCTTCACTCAATGTGATTGTCACCTCTGAGTGTCGGAACATCTTTTAAGCAACTCATCAAGTGAAAGCCTCCTCAAATTACAATTTAAGTGAGATCAGTATAACAATCATATGCATTAATCTAACATTGGTCAAATTAAACATACAATTGTCTATGCAATTAAATCTATATTACTGTTGGGCAAAAAAATTATAAATAAATGCACCTTTAAATTTCAATAATAAAACATGATCATGTTATTAACAACGTTGGTCATAAAAATAACAAAATATATTACTGCCATGAGAACAAGCTGCCGACGCGTATTGTCACTGCTTGACTGCTTCTATACCAGAGCCGGCCTGATCTTGCTAATGTGAACCAGGAAGTCTTTGTACACGTGCCCCTAAAGACAAAACTGGAGTCGTAGTTGTTATCATTGAACCCTTAAATCGATATGAAGTGCCTGGCACTAGATCTTGTCATCGCGCACGCACTACAAGAAACCCTAACCTTCCCGCCTCAACAAGAAACCCCTAATACAGTGAGTCTAGGTTTGCCTGATTATTGCGCCCGTCACAGCACAACCCCCTATGTACTGTACGTGAATGTTAGGCTGGTTGTAATGGGGAGTATCATATACTAGTATCATGCATATGATATTAGTGTATGATACTACCTCCCTAATGCATAGTATTATATATTAGTATCATGTAGTACTCCATTTATTGCCATGCATGACACAAAGTAGTATAGCAGATATCATGATATGATACTACACCCTCTTTTTCTTTATTTAATGCTATGCCATCTCATCAAAATTGCCTAGTTGGCATGCATGATACTAGCTACGATACTACCATTACGACCAGCCTTGTGATAAAACGGATGTGTGTGTCATTCCTTTCCATTTGGGTCTATCTAGGTCTCAGTCGACTTAGACTTCGTGAAGTCTAAGTCGGCTGATGTCATCTAAGACAGATTAGGCCCGTTTGTTTAATCGACAGCTGCTGGGTTTTATTCTTAGCTGGGCCATTTTTGTTTCTCCATTGTTTTTTTTGTTTATTTATTATTTGGGCTGGGTTGTTTGTTTCATTGTCTTTTGTCTTTGTTTGTTCTTGACACCACAAAAAAGTGTTCAACAAGAGAAGTAAATAAAAATACATTTTTATGTCACTAGTCCAGCACATCGCCCAGTCCTTCTCTTTGTGCGTCATCTTGCTTCTCCTTTTATTTTTATTTTTTTATAATTTGTTTAAAAAACATTTTGTATATTAGAACAAAAATCAATTTTTAATGTAACAAAGAAACACAATGGAAACAAGACAAACTAGATAGTGTGGCACTGTTTTTCACAAATCAATCTTTATAAGTTGCTATCCGCAAAAAAAATCTTTATGTTGCATACAAATGGAGGTCATGCAAGTGTGCTTCCAAAGTGGGTTGCGTTGTTTTTCTCAAAAAATGATAATAACAGAAAGAATAAAAATTCAAAACACAAGGGTAAAAAAAGAAAAATAGTAGAAAAAGAAAAAGAAAAGGTCAGTAATAACCTGCTTAGCAGGCCGCCCAAGCCAGGTGTGTAGTTGCAAAAAATTCAGTTGAAGCCGGGGGCGAGACTTGAAGTTGCAAGCCTACTATCGAACATGCAATTGCAGTCAAGGGCGACACTTGCAGTTGCGAGCCTAGTGTCAGACATGCAACTCCCCCCATCCCCCGTCCCTGCCCCCAACATGATTTTTTTCAGTTGCAACGATGTTGGAAGACATGCAATTGCAGTCGCGGGGTGACTGTTGCAGTTGCGTGTCTAGTACTGGACATGCAAGTTCCCTCACCCCCTCTCCTGCCGCCCTTTAACAAAAACATAAGACCAGTTGCAGTTGGGAGGGAGACACACAGTTGCATTCGGGGGCGACACTTGCAGTTGCATGGCTAGTATTCGACATGCAACTCCACCCCACCCACCTCTCCCGCCACTCTTACAAGACAAAGGTTAATTGTAGTAGCGGTGTGTGGACATGTACTTGCATTAGGTGGCGACACTTGCATTTGCAAAGCCTAGTGTCAGACATGCAACGACCACCTCTCCCGATGCCCACTTACAAAACAAAAAATGTCAGTTGCATTGGGTGTGTAGGCATATGGTTGCAGTCGAGGGTGATAAATGCAGTTGCAAGCCTAGTATTGGATATATATGCAACTCCCCCTCCATGTTGCTCCCTTAACAAAACCAAAAAAGGCCAGTAGCAGTCGAGTGTGTAGGCATGCAGTTGTAGACAAGGGCAACACTTGTAGTTGCAAGCCTATCGTCGGACACACAACTTCCCCATCTCGTGCCGATCACTTACCAAAAAAGTTCAGTTGCAGCCGGGTGTGTAGGCATGCAATTGCAAAGAAAAAAATTCAGTTGCAGTCGGGTGTATAGGCATGCAATTGCAGTGGAAGACGACACTTGCGGTTGCAATACAACTGTCGTACATGCAATTGTAGTTGCAAGCGTATTGTGGGACATGCAATTCATCCCCTCTCCGTCAAAAACGCAAGGCCAGTTGCAGTTGATAGGGGACATGCAGTTCTAGTCGAGGTCGAGACTTGGAGTTGCAAGCCTAGTATCGGACATGCAACTTCCCACTCTCTCGCCGCCCACTAACAAATCAAAAAATGTCGGTTGCCATGGAGTTTGTGGGCATGCAATTGCAGTCGGGTGTGCAGGCATGCAGTTCCAGCCGAGGGTGACACTTGTAATTGCAAGACTACTTTTGGATATGCAATCCCCCCTCTCTCTAACAAAAAACACAAGGCCAGTTGCAGTCGGAAGGGGGACATGCAGTTGCATTCGAAGGCGACGGTTGAAGTTGCAAGCCTGGTATCGCACATGCAACTCCCCCTGCCTCTCCCACCGCACTTAGAAAATAAAATGTTAGTTGCAGTAGGGTGTGTGGGCGTGCAATTGCAGTAGGGGACGACACTTGCAGTTGGATGCCTAGGGACAGACATGCAATTGCCCTTCTCTCGACCAAAGACTAATAAATTACATTCAATGACGACACTTACAATTGCGCCTAATAGTGAGCATACAAGAAAAGGATTTTAAATGCACTAAGAAGACAAAATATAAATAAATAAATAAGAAACATGGATTTTTTATAAAGTAAATAAATGAATAAAATAAAATAAAAATGAAACAAGAAAAATGGTGACAATACAAATGCAAAATAAAATCAATGTCACGAGAACGCCGATATTTTTTTTGTTAAAAATCACTTATGAAAAGATAAATAAGAGGCAAGAAAATAAAATAAAAAACACATAAATAAATCCAGAAAAGGCCAGGCTATCACACATCCCTGCCCACGCATAAAATAAAGAAGAACGAAGGAGCAGGCCAGACACACCCTAAAACAGCCCATCACCAAAAAAAATGGAAGCAAACTTATTGGATATGAGAGAAAAAATAAAACAAACAAAAAAATTACCAATTCTTGGTCTCTTTGAAGACATGGAGTTGCATTCTGGGGCAACACTTACAATAGAGGTCCATTGCTACCAAATCGACTAAGACTTGGCTAATTCTTTGTCGACTAAGAATAACAAATTCACATAAAATAGATTTTTTGGATTAGATATTTCCATCTATACTTCTTTTAGACTGGCATACTTAACACAAGCCAAAGCTAAAAAACCTAGAAAAGGAGACATGGATGCTTGTTCTATACAAAAATGCGTGCGTGTACACACATCTGAAAAAAGGAAATTATGGTTCTAAAAAATGGATGCTGCACTAGAAAAACTACATAAAAACTATACATTTAGGGATATTTTCTATCAACAACAACCACCCATACGCACACGGTTTCTAGGAAAAAGAAAAAGGAGAAAAACTCACAAAAGATGCTACTGCAGTGTACGAATTCTTTTCCTTTTCACTCTTAGACTTTGTAAACTTTGCAGGCAAAAAAAAAGACACACCGTTCAAGGTCCGCCACTCTCCTGCCTAGCCCACTCAAAGCTGACAAGAAAAACAAGACACGAAAGCAGCCCACTAGTCCGTCCATCTACACGGGCCAATTTACAATTAAAAGCAGTTTGCACGTATCTAAAAATAGTAGTAGATCTAATGGTCTACGAGTCGACTGAGACTTCGCGTCTCAGTCGACTGATTTTCAGCAGTACCGTTTCCATTTACTGTCCGCGCCCTCACATGTGAAATTATTTGGTTCTCCACTGTACCCATTAATAAGTGTTACCTGATCATGGAACATATTTAGAGCAAGGTTGGAAGCACAACCAACAATTGTCTACTCCCTTATTGTATGAGTGGGTCCATACCGAAGGCAATCAGAACTGATGCCATCCAGCAGCCGCCGACTGGGCAAAAATGGGTGCACGAACTATTGGCATCCATCACAGCCACATACAGATCAATATTTCACAGCGACTTTTAACCAAACTGCAGAGGTAAAGGGCTCCCAACCCTGTGCTCTTCGGCCTTGCCCACGCACGCACGCGCGACGGGTCCTCGTTTCGCGCTGCGCCTGAGCTAGCTAGCGGTGGATCCTGAAGTAGTGGAGCACGTCCTCCCTGCTGGCGGCGGCGGCGCTGTAGGCCTTGATGAACTCGCTGAACTCGAACTCCTTGAACTTCGCCGGTCCCGTCGCCTCGTTCACCATCTCCGGGGCCGGCCCGATGCGGCACTCCATCTTGCGCATGATGAGGGTCACCACCGACAGCCTCACCGCGGCGGTGTTCGTCACGGCGCGGTGCTCCACGCTGGCCAGGAGCCCGTTGGTGATGATTTCCATCTGGTGGCCCAGGTTGACGACGAAGGAGCCTGGGATCGGGCGGACGAGGAGCCACCCCCCGCCGTGCCTTGCCTGCAGCCCGGCGACGTCGCCCTGCGAGAGCACGGTGAGGAGGTGGCGGTCACAGTGCGGGAGGAGGCCCAGCGTGAGGCTTGGGTCCGGGCACGGCGGGTAGTAGTTGACGTTCATCTGGGTGCTGCCGCCGCTGAGGTCGCCGGCGAAGAATCCACCGTCGAGGCCGAGCCCCTCTGCGATGAGCCGGAGCAGCGTCTGTGCAAGCTCGTGCACCGCCGCGGAGTACTCGGCGAGGGAGCTCCTGAAGCTTGCCGGCTTTTCCGGCCACTCTCGGACGTGCTCGTCGGTGACCGGGTGGCAGTTGATCTTGAGGTAGTCGAGCCAATAGCGGTCCCCGTTCCGGTCATAGGGGGTGCTGGAGGACACGCGGAAGTGCTTGCTCAGGTCATCGGAGCGGTACGGCAGCTTCTCCTCCGCCGGCATCCCGAAGAACCCCGCCGCCGCCTCCCGGAACCCCTGCACCACGTCCTCCGCCACGCCGTGGTTCACCACCTATATATGGAAAGATCGACCGGTCAGCTACCTCGGCTCAAGCAATGTACCTTCCGTGCCTAAGCGTGAATCAACCGACGTGCCTGGAAGATGCCGAACTCCTTGCAGGCCTTGATGATCTCGGCGACGATCAGGTGGCGCTGGCGGTCGTCGGCGGCACGGTGGAGGTCGATGACCGGTATGGCGACATCGGAGCTGGGCTCGTCGTTGAGGAGCAAAGGGCGCTTCTCCGGGGGCAACACGTACTTGTCCGGCACGGAGGTGTGCACGGGGCAATCGGACAGCAGCTCCATCTCCGTTTCCGATCGATCAATGCAGGGCCGGTCCATACATATCCGGGGCCCTCGGGCAAGACAACAAAATGAGGCCCTTGTGGACAATAAAAAATTCTGAATATATTGTATTTTGAAAGCAATTCAGTACATAGCATATGATGGTCTTTGAACTAGAAAACACATGCCACACATTATTTATTTGTAATGATCCAGAGAACTACATCATAATAGTATGGAAAGAATATAGTTCTAGATCGCTCTTCTAAGTACCACAAAGAGACCATCATCTCGCTCTTCTAAGTATGAAAACCTTGTCAATGTCTCTAACAAACTCAAGAATTTCCATAGCACGCAATGGCAGTTTCTACAAATTTAGCACAACATTTGTGTAATTCAATATCATTCAATAACTTCAAGTCTTTTGAGTCAAGTAAAAAGCCAAATATACTTCTGAACACTTTAAGTTCTTCGAAGAACTACCGGTTCTAAAAAATTGTCAATAAACCTTTCTGGGATCCTACCAGTTCATCTTTATTTTTTTTTTCACTTCCCTTTCTCACTGATAAACATTTTTTAGAAGACATGTCACTAAACAATCGCAGAAGAATAGTCAATACAGGGAATAAAAGCACCTGAATATGGGCATATGGCTTGATGTCAAATTGGCGATGTAGCTTCCCAGGTCTGCAAGCCTGCAACACTCATTCCCCGTCACCCCTTCTCATCCCTGGATCCAATGAAGATTTGAAGAACAGGCCAACAAAAGAGTAGGAACTAGGAAGAGAAGAATCGGAGATGTCAGATGGAGCAATCGGAGGCGGATAGCCGGGCTATTTAACAGGGAATCAAAAGAGTACTTGATTAGGGGAAGGAGGAAGACGTACCATCTCTGATGCGGTGATGCCTCAAACGTCTACTTGGTGGGGAGTGTCGAGGATGCAAAGAGATATGATTGGGGAAGGGAATAGCATCGTTGGTCTCCATTAATGGACGCACTGGAGCGGAGCGCCGAATCTGGAAGTGCGCGGGAGCGGCGGCGCTGTTCTCTGAGGTGAAGAATTTGGGGGAGGAGCGAGAAGGCGAGGAGACTGGAGACGCGCAACAGAGAAGCAAAGCGATCGATTCCTTCATTTTTTCTAATACGTATACTATACTACTACCTGGGCCGGGGCCCCTGCCTCCCAGGGGGCCAGGGCAGTCGCCCCGTTGCCGCGGCCTTTGGGCCGGCCCTGGATCAATGGATCTTCTCTTCTGGCTTGCTGTCTGGCTGGTTAGAAGAGTGTGATATATAGAAGGGCGTGCTTCAGTACACCCCCTTAAAAATATTGAAAATGGACCGCGTGACACACGTGGTTAGCAAGACCACAATCCACAGAAATATTGAAAAGGAATACTTCATCTAATAGAAAACATATGTAGTCTTTTTAGTCTTAGGAAATTCGATCCTAATTTTTTAGACAATGCTAACGTGCACAGGTATGGTGTAAGCCAAATCTGTTCACACGTTCTATAACACACAGACTATGCTACGTCACCGCATGCATGTAAGAATCTTTCTAGATTTTCAGTTTTTAAAATGTTTTATCTCTTAAATGAAAAATTCGATTGAAGATCCGTTTTCACCATTAAATCCCTCGCGACGAGATTTTCGAAACTAGATCTCGTATCAATATATTTCGACGAATTTTTTTGAGGGTTAAAAGCTGCCATCATAAAAAAAAAACTAAAATTGCCATGCTCTACAAACTAAAATTGCCACATGGCAACTTTAGTTTAAACACTATGGCAACTACAGTGTAAACATCGTGGCAACTTTTGAGCAAAAAAAAAATCATCGAAGCATATCAACATGGGGTCTAGTTTTGGAGATCTCGTCGAGACGAATTTAATGATGAAAACGGATTTTTAATTTAATTTTTTAAATTAGGAGATAAAACATTTTTAAGCCGAAAATCAAAAAGATTCCTGTTAATGTCATCTGTTCATACGTGACAAAATGAGTGATGATGGAGGCGCATGTGTGATGTGCAAGTTACCGCACATGTGGGCGTTAGTTTTTTCAATTTTTTAACATATATTGGTCGATCCTAATTTGATTGCATTATTGATTTGTTTGTCAATTTTGCATCATGTATGTGCTGGCCAGTGGCCACCATGCATGTTGTGCCAAGAAGCAACCAGCAAACAATTGCAGTGAAAGAATAGCGAAGCTGGTACACGCGAAGATCAAATTTTTTAGAGATGTGCCCGCAAAAAACAAAGAAATTAGTCACATATTTTAGATAAAGAAAATCTGTGTCGGACTGGTCCGTGTCGTTGTCATTGTCAGACTGTCCTTCCACAGACGGAAGCCTTGCCTGGCTACTGCCTGATGCTCGCTGAGGAGCCGCTCCACTTCCTTCTGCGTTGTGCGGAGAGCCGCCTCGGCCAACACCGTCCTTGGCCGGGGAGCCCTGCTCTTGCCCCTGCCAGTGGCGCCGTGGCGACAGAGGTGTAAAGGAGCGGCCACTCCTTCCCAATCTTGGCGAGTTCCCGGTCGAGGCGAAGCAGTCGCCTCGTGGATGTCTCCGCATGGTCGGGGGCCACGGTGTTGGGCTTCGTAAATGTCGCCTGACGCGCCACATTGTGCCACTCTCTCCGCACTGTTTTCGTAGAGGCCTTCTCCTCCGTTGAGACGATGCCCCACGATGAGGTGTCGTCATCGCTGCAACCACCGAGGTAGTGGAGGACTTGCTCATGCACCTTCGCAGTTGGTAGGGGCAACTCCTTCACGGCCTTGGCAACACTGACGGAGCTACAGCCAAGCAAAACTGTGTTATGGCCCGTCCAAATTTGGTGAAAATACACTAGGATATTTAAGCAAATGGGACATCAGATTAAAATAGTCAGACTTCCCTTCAATTTGGCCAGCCCAGGTTTTTATGTGTAGCTCCGACGCTGTTTGGCAAGCTAGTACACGTTAAGATCAAGGTTCTTTAGGAAGCTAGTAGTATATGTTAAGATTAAGTATTGCCTCCGGGTATAAAGTTGTACTAATTCAGGCGAATAGATAGGACGGGAACGTTTGGTTCCCGGGTGTATATACACCTTGTATGAAAAAATAAATTAGCAATTCAACAAAAAATCAAAAACTCCAGAAATATTTTTGAAATGAACTTGACCTTCTATTGTACTTGTGAGAAAAATTTTACAAAAATAAAATCACCCTTTGACTTCTTTTCAAAAAAGGCAAATCTTTGGTCAAAATAGTGTGACTGGTGACCTATAATCACTGTTTAAGAATTCGTCCGATTAATCAGTTAACATGCCAGTTAAACGCTACTCTTAGGGTGACCGAATCGAATAGCACATATTCATCATGTTAACTTGTCAGACCGATTAATTGGCCAGTTAGACCGATTAATCGGTTGTTAGGCTGATTAATCACTGGTGACCCATTAATTTTTGGGCAAACAAATCCCAAAAAAATTACCCTATAACCCCTCCCATCTCCCTCTCGCTCCTCAATAGCTAGGGTTCGAGCAAATAGTAGCATATTTTAGTATATTACATAGTTAAGAGCATGAGAGTATGGTATAATACATAAAACTAGATATATGTTGGCAATTCCTATTTAATCTACCGATTAATGGTCGACCGATTAATCCAGTTAATAGGCCAATTCGCCGATTAATCACTACTCCCAAGCCGGCCGAGCAGCTACCAGTTGCCGATTTATTGAACAATGCCTATAATAGCAAAAAAAAATGTCTTTTTTGCCCTAAGGACAATGTTGGTTTTTTTCGTGAAAATTTATATACTAGTGCAAAACAATGTCAAGTGTAATCCAAAAATACTTTTGAACTATTTTGACTTTTTGTAATTACTAAAATAATTCCCTATATAAGATGCATATACAACCAAAAACCAAAGTGTATTTCC